GAGCAAAGCGATTCACAAAGACAATGTGTTTAGAGTAAGGGGTGTTTCACTTTCTCTGGCGGCTGGTATTACATTCTCCAAGAAGCCTCTGCATCCTCCCAGTGCCTGAGTGACCATGGACCTCTGTCACCATACCTGGACAAGACTAATGAGGCAAGGAACATGAAGCCACTGCTCAGTCCAACTCACTAGGGTGACTGAGGGCAACTGCAGAAAGCTCTCTTTGCGTATGAGCAACAGTAAAAGTGTAAATTTATACTCAGTGCTCCTTCACGGAAAAAAACAAAAAAACCAAAAAAACCCACAAACCAAAACAAACCCCAACAACAAAAAACCTGTATTTTTTATTGACATATGTGTTTGTTTTTATAGGGATTGCCAGAGAAACCCACAGCCAGTGCAAAGCAGAACTTTGCAACCACCATACTCTCAGACACATCAGACTTGTATTACCCGAAACAAATACTGGTCAAAATGGAGATAACGTTTAGACATTTGCTTTAAAATGTAGCATCCTTTCCACCTGCCATTGTAGGCCGCAGAAGATACACTCTAGTTAGCATATTACTGACAGGATGATGAGAAAGCTCCTGTCAGACACTGGCCAGCCGAGTGTTTGAGACAAAATGCACAGCCCCAGCTGACTAGTTAGGGAAAGACTGGTGAGGTACAATTACAGAGGCATATGACAAGCTTTCATGCTTGAGTGACTTGAGAACTGATGACATGGCTTTAAACAGCAATCCTTCCTACCTCCGGTCACAAAACAGCAATAAGTCAACTGATGCACTGTTGTAAAATCATGATTTATTCCTTTGCTTTGAATACATGAGAGTGTGGTATGATGTTCTGGTAGACTACCACAGCAGGTGCACTTGGGGCCAAAACATCTAGGGCCTGCCTCCAGCATGCATAAAATCAATGCTATAGTTCAGCATTCCTGGAAAAGCCATCCCCAGCACTTTAATAATTTATAGAAAGACTGAATTAAAAAATTATTTGTACTGACACTCATACAGCTCCATGCAACTAATAAGAATACATGCAGATGCAGTGATGTGTGAGAAAATGGTGCTGTGCAAGAACATGCAGCATGACATTTAGGAAAGGTCCTCCTTTTACAGCTGAAGTGAAACAACTAACAGCCACCTCTGTGAATAGATCAATTCCTTTGTTTCATTCATCCTTTCATTTAATCCAAAGCCATATAATTTGTTTCTCTTTCATAGTTTACTGTTCAAAAGCCAGAAATGGTAATTTTTGCTACAAACAGATCTTACAGAGCATAATCCTCAGGCTAGCTGAATCCATCTCACTCTAACACTAAGCCTGAAGCAAGCTGTGACGTTGGTGATAAAAGTCCATTATTAAAGCAGTTGGAAAGTCAAGCTAATAAAAGAATCAACAGTTAGGGCAAATAATGACCCAGAAGCTATGACAGAAAGGAGTGGTGGGAAGTTTCCACGTATATCTTGGTAGTAATTGGTAGGACAAGGAGACAAAGATCTCCACCAACGAGTTTTTAAAGGGGGTAAACACAGAAAATCAATTTAAAGAAAGATATAAAGAATACATAACAACTGCAAAAATCAGAAGATGCACTTAAAACAAAACCTGCTTGGCTGAAATAAAATATAAGCTGACAACTGAAACACACCCTCAGGATAAAACGGTACTTACCTTTTTCTATTCTTTTTTTTTTTTTAATAAAAAAAACCCTCTACTCAACCGCTTAAAATAGGCAACCTTTTTTTCTCTTTCTCTTTTTTCTCCAAAGTAAACCTTTTTAAATATAGCATCATTTTTTCCCCTTCATTTTTCCTTTACTTGAGTATAACGAAAGCATGAAATTTATAGGGCAGAAATGCTAGACAAAGAATTCCTGTACATAAGTGTAGTTCTCCATTCCTGGCCCCCCTCAAGAAGGGCAAGGAGAAAGTGAGCAAGGCCTTGAATTATGGCTTTTGTTATCAGTCACTGCCCCGAGATAGTGAACCGAAACAGAGCTGATAATTTGAAGGTGACATCACAACCTAGTCTTCATGAACTGACATAAACACTTGATATTCAGTTAACCCCAAAGATAAGGTACAACTCCCTTAACAGAAAGTTGTACTTGATAACACTATTTTTGAGCAAATAATCTTTTCAAGCATCAAGTTGTAATTTAGGAATATTGAAACACAACCTTTGCAACACAAAGTACCAGTTTGGTGTGTTTTATACACAACAGTACAGCAGCACAAAGCTAGCAAATGCTAATGTCCAAATGCACTCCATTTGCTTATTTGTATTATATTAAGCAATCCAACATTTAAAGAAGAAATATCTTATGCCAAAACTACATTTAATTATTCCTGGAAATTCAATTAAATTCTTACAGGAGATACTGAGAAGTGTTTAATTTACTTTTTAAACCATATTGCTCTGCAAAGAAGCAAGCCTCGCATCAGTCCTGCTCTGTTTATGAAAGAGATCAGCAGGTAGCAGGTTCTCACTGAAGTTCCTGATAAGCCAGGTCTATTCTTCTGTTTTATCAGAACTCACTAGTGCAAGTGAAAATTAACCCAGTCCTATATCAAAAGTGAATCCGACATCATGTGGTAGTAATTTCATTTAGCTATGACTTAAGTAATGCAAGTGGACTGAAAAAATAACCAGAAGAAAGTGAAATTGATGTGTTCTCTCTTTTTTGACTTGACCTGCAATCTACTATTTACATTAACAGCTTGGGAACATTCTTCAGGACATCCAAATGCCACTACAAATGTCTGTTATTGCTACCTATCCTTGTCCAGGAGAGTGACAGAAATTATTTTCAAGTGAGGACACCATCAAGATGGCTATTTATTCCAAACCTTTTCATGAAGTAACAGCTGAATTTTGAATAAAGTTAAAAGTTTCTCACAACCAGCATATTATATCTGCTGCTATGTAAAGACTTCCACAGAGCTTGCAATCTGAACATAGAAATAAGGTGGTCTAGATCAGCACAGTGTGATTCTGATACCTCCTCTTCTCTTGTCATATCATAGCAACACAGATCAGCTGAGATGTTCAGCCTAACAAACACAAGTCTTAAGAGAATCCAAATGTAGGCTGAGAGTACAGCTTTAAACCACATTAAGCAGACAGACATGTGCCCATCTGCAGAATGAATCTTCCAGAGGCACAGAGCTGCCATCATGATTCCTAACTCCACTCTACTGCAGCAGTAAAAGAGGTTTGACTGGGGCATCATTGGAGCTGAGGTTTTTTCATGGTGTGGTTTGGTTTGGGTTTTTTTAATTAATTTATTAATTTTTTTATTAGCAAGCTGGGTCCCAGACTGGCAAACTGAAAAAAAAAAAAAATTTGATTCCACGTTTTTGCTACATCATGTGAATTTCTATTAAGCCAGGTTCTTTGAAACGGCTTTCCCTTCAAATTCTCTCTGCTCATTTGGGTGGTCTTATTACTGTGTTGTAACACCCAATTCTTCCCTTAGCCATTTGGGGGGGCGGGGGGGGAAGCGTGATAGAATATGGAAATTTCCTAACATAAATTAAAATCTTTGGTGGTTAAAAATATATCATAGACTAGTAATTTGAAGATTGCTTATACTCATTCACTACTTGTTTTTCTGTTTTTCAGTTGTTCATGTGGCCTCTGCTTACATTACCCCATGTCTCCTTTACTCTCCAGTCACCACAGACTTACTTAGCTCCATATTCTGCAAACCACTGGTAAAGTGCTGTCTTACTGCATTCCCCTAACTGCAACAGTGATTGCAGATTGAGGGACCCAACACTGTGGTGTTTAAAAAAATAATAAGGCGGTTATATAATTGCTACTACCACCTAGAATTGTAAAACCTGTCAGCCTTCTATGGCATTCTGAATCTTCTCCATCTTCGACTTACTTTTGACTCAGAAGAATTTAAAGGGGTTTTATCCACTATTTATAATCCAAAAATTCTCACTCCTTACATGCACACATATGTATTGGAAACCAGCACCTGCAAGTCTTTGAAAATATAAATTTTTAGTACTATATCCAACTTTGTACCTATGTGTTGAAAATAACTGTTCATTTATTTGGTAGTAGAATTAGCACTGTTCAGGAGCATAAAGTTGATTTTCCACAACAGAAAGCATATTAAACAAAAAGTTTTATGCAGTACTGTTGAAAAAAAAAAAAAGGTATTTTCAATGACTACGCTTTACAGGCTAAACATTCAGGCTAAACATTCAGCGTAACAAATATACTCTATGATGAAAGTTGGTTATAAAGTGACAGTCTTGTACTAATCCAAAATTAATCTTGGGAATATTTTCAAAATATAGGGTATTTTAAAAACTCATAAGATTCTGTGAAGAGTAAAACAAAATAACATCTGAATATTTAGGTATATTTTCAAAACGAAACACAACGTTCTTTTATTAAGCAGTCTAAGCAGGCATAAGGGGAAAAAAAAAACTTTTTAATGTGGGCAGTAGCCTAAAACCTTTAATAAAAAAAAAAAAATGTTATTTTGAGTTGTACATTATTATCAGTCTGAAGAGCTGCTCTAAATCAGAGCTATTACAGTATGCACTCCCAAACCACTCTAACAAAGATGAATCTACCTATTACCAGGTTAGGATAGCAGCTATTATTATGGACCCTTGATTTCTTTCAAGTAGCTCCAATGGAATAAGCCACAAGTGAATAATAAAGATCTTATAATAGCCCTTAAGAATTCTTTTTAGGTTAGAAGGCACAGAAATGAACTCAGGAGAGTTAAAGAACTCTCATCTCCTGATAAGAAAAATAATTAACCTGACTTAATGTATCTGAGTAGGTCTTATATAAATCAGACTTTTGTACTTCAAGAGCCAGACTAAAACCATATATCAGAAAAGTATGTAGATATTGTCTCATAAGTACACATGGAACATATCTAAACCCACAAATGTCTGCAGGTCATTTCTGAAATGCTCAATATATTCTACTTAAAAGGAGATGTGTGAAGTACTTACAGTGCTTAGTTTGCTAGAGGTAATAATGATTCGTCTCTCATGCAACATACTGGCATAAAGTTGCAGCATGTTGTTCACATCCACAGCAACAAAATATTCAGTGAGGTTTCTCTGTTTAAATAAATAAGATGTTAACAATATAGCAACAGTAATAGCTAAGTGGAACATTTTATATATCACTCAAAAAATTTTTTCCGATTAGTAGATGGGAAAAAAAAACCAACACCAAACTATGTAAGAAGTCCTTTTGCATTAAAATTTGTATGCTTTAAGAATAATTGATTGGGTTTTAAAGCCAATGAAAAACTAACTTTGGTGTGAGTTATTACTATTTTGCTTACTTGATTAAGCTTGTGAATTTATATTTGCCTTTGTTTTTATTTTTTTCAAATTTGAAAAAATATGAAATGTAGTATTATATCAATAGCATCATATGCTATTAAGGTAACCATTACTTCCAGCCCAGGAACAGATTTTCCACCACTGCAATAACTGTTCTGTCATAGCTACAATAATAAAACTCTGCTATTTTGCCAGGCTCTCCCGAAGCCAACACATTTTATTCTACTTCAAGTACAACCAACCAGCTTGTTGAAAAACACCACGCTTTTGCTTGACCTGTATGTGCCAGGACATCAAACATCCAGCAGCACTGCTGGTAAGTACTGGGTCCTTCCTGCAGCCACTGTTTTCGCCCCCAAGAACCCTACTGCCATCCCCACTGTGGGGTTTAATGAAAAGTAAAGTCACCAGCACCTCTTATCTATAGTTCAGACAACACAGAACTGGAGGAAAAAGAGAAAAGGCGGGGGGGGTGGGGGGGGAGGGAGGTTGAGATCTCTGTGTTCCAGCTGAACTTAACAGTATTTCTGCACGGCACAGTGCCAGAGAAATACAAGTTCTGAATAAGCTAAAAAAGCTACCAGCAAAAATGCCTAGGACAACAGAAAATTTCTGTAAATGTTAGAGAGTATGTATGAAAATATACTAATACACCCCACAATAAACAAAATGTTTAGTTTCACACATTCATTATTGTATCTGCAATCAGAACTCTTACTCATCTCTTCTTAAGAACAACATATTACTGAACATTAATGTAGATGGTCTATCAACTATATGCCCCAACCCAAGGACAGAAATCTGAACAGTGAAACTGTTAGTCTATATCGGATGTGGCCAACACATGGCAGCAAGGTAACACACCCCTGAAAAAACAGCGAGGGCAAGGTAAGCGGTAAAGGCTTTAGAGCAGGGTGATCCCCCCGCAACTGCCGGCACCCCCTCTGTGGGGGCCAGGACATGGCAGCCGGCTGTGGCCTCTCCAGCTCATGGCCCTCCACAGTCAGGGAGCGTGGCGTGGGGCAGAGCTGCTGCTCACCACCTGTTGGTTTATCTCTTTACAGACTCTACTATATGAAAAGCTAACTTCAGTTAAAGCCCAGATGATGATCAGAAGGTTGACCTCCTTTTTGGACATATTGCAATGTTAAATAAAAAAAAAAAAAGATATTGACAAGACAAAGATCCAATGGATGATCCAGTTTCATGTGAATTCAGAAATGCATTGTTGATTTAAAGACACAAGTATAGAGTTATTCTTGGTACATGCTGCATAAAATTTTGGAAGAAATAAAACCAAGAGCTTTGAGGCTACAAACACTCCATTTAGAAAGGAACTCTGGTCTTTCAAGTGCTACTTTTAACTGGTTGTCAGAGGCTGACGCATCATGATAATTTGAGCCCAGTTTACCTCAGAGACCCTCAACGCTGTAGTTGATAATGGTGTGCCGATTCTGTGTTGCAACAGCTGTGGTAAAAAGAGTTTGCAATCTTGTACAGGCCAATATATCTTTGGGAAACAGTGACAGTTATTTCTGCATTACATCTGAAAAGTTACTGCCCCTGAAATATGTGAATCTTACAACAAAGGACAAGAAAATTAATTTTATTGCTAATTTACTGTAATTACATCTCTTCACTCTCTGCGCGTTCTACCCCTCCATTAGTTCCATACTATTTTGATTTATACCGGAAAGATGAGACTTTTATAAATGGAGTAAAAAATAATTATAGAAAGGCACCTTGAAAATTACTTTTCCCTTCTCCCACAGAATCAGAAAAATAAATCCCCAGTGGCACCATCGCAAGGTCCTCCATCAGCCAGAGGTCTGATGGACTGAAGCTTTCCCACATTTTCAAGATGAACACATAACACACCTTCTAACCTCCAAACCTATGTTGTGTTAAAACCCCAAATAATAAGCTGGAACAAGAGAATTCTTCAAACTAGAGGAACTGAACCCATAGGGTGGAACAGCTGAAAATAAACATTTGAAAACTAAGTCCTGTCCTGCCCAAAGAGCCCTTGCAACAAGGGTCCTCTCTTTTATGCCTCTACCCAGCAACTTTCCGTAGTTTTCTGGGTTGCACTGCGGGCTGCTCCGTCTCCCCTGGGTCCCTGGCGCAGACTGCTTTCCACCACCACAGACGTACCCGCAGGCCTCCTCTCCACTACAAGCACCCTACCGCTCCTCGCCAGCCTAGGTTTCCCCGGCTCCATTTCCTTCCCTCATGGGTCCCACCCTGCACCCCAGGAGCCGCTGCCCTCCCAGCACGCCGAGGTGGAAAACCTCCCCTCTCAGCTGCAGCACGGAAGCAGGCGATCCGGACGCCTTTCCTACCGCCCCTCGCCAATGCACCACCGCAGAGGCTGTGAGCACACTTCTGTCATGCTTTCTGCACAAACGCCGCAACACCTACCAAGAACGAGTTCTGCGGTACGGCATGATTTTGTACGGTAGCAAACCCTCAAACAGCTTAACTTTCAGAAGGAAGTTACTATTTGAAAGTGTAAAAAATGCACATCTATACATCCAGGTTCAATTCCAGATTTAAATGCAGGAGTGGAAAGCAGAAAGTTTCAAAGCTCTTCTATTAGATGTGATCCAGCTAAACACATCAAAGAGAACATGACCTGAGATTTCACATTTGCCATCTACCCACAGCACTGCCAAGGATTTAGCATCTACAGAATGCAAGTCTTCATTTAAAAGAAAAAAAAAAAGAAAAAAGAACTAGTAATAACAACAACAACCACCATTCCTGGTGCATGGTTACCATCCAAATGTAAGCAGGTACGGCATATTTTCAGAAAGCCTGAAACAATACCTTCTGACACAAAAAATACCTGCATATCTTGATAGCTGAATTTGCAGCTTAGCAATGCAGTTTTTAAAGGGCAGGTATTCAAATAACACGAGGTGCGGAAGTAAAATACATTTTACAGAAATAATCCCAATAAATGCAAACAAGCCAAGTAATTATGAACAAAGGGTGGATATAGCAGTGGTCAGAAATGCTCTGTTAATGCTTTAAAATGGGTTCATGATGAATGCAACATAACTGCTAGCTAAAGGTTGTAATAATAGACATCAATCATATTCTAAAAAGTCTTGGGGGAAAAAAAAAAATCTCCTATTGATAAAAGCAGAGTTCAGCCCTAGCCACAGAATGAGGTTGATATTTCTCCTAAATATTTAAAAAAGAAACTGCATACTTACACTTTCAGGGATTGTTGGCAATCCAGTTATATCAGGAGTAATGAAATACGAGTGCTAATCAATGGGGAAAAATAATTAATAATTTATGCAAACAGAAACCAAAAATTCTTTTTTAAAAAATCCAGCATTTAGGATTTCCATCCCCATCTTTGTTTAAGCAAATAGCCATTTTTCCAATAGCATTCTTACCACTACTAGACAAAGAATTAAGCAGATCACGACACGAAATTACAAGCTCTGGTTCAGCACAGCACACAAACCAAGGAAACAAAACGCTGGGCTGCAGTTTTGAAATAACACTGAAGTTAAACCAGCTTTAAATGTTGTCACAAGCCTGAGAGTAGCATTGATTTTAAAATTGCAACCAAAAAAAGTTAATGGAGAAAATGTAAATTTAGAATGGAAAAGGAAAAAAATCACTCACATGAGAAAATTAATTAGAATAGAAATATTATTACTTGATATACATTCTCTTCTCTCTCCAAACATCTTTGAATCAAAAATGTGCTAACAGAAATGCAAGCTCTGACAGCTGGAGATTCAATCATTTATGAAATACATTAACAATTTTATGCGTCTTAGTTTGAGGCCATCTAGGATGTAAATATAAAATGGATTAAACTAAAAACAGATGCAATTTAAATTATTCTCATTAATCCAGTGCATTTAGTAGTTGTCAGATGTGGATTTAGCTCAGTAATTTTAAGGCATTCTTGCATATTAGTCTAAATCTTGAAGGACAAAAAACCTTAGTGCATACTAAGTAAATGTGATAATTATTGACTTTTTAACTTTCATTTGTTTTTAATGGAATATTGACATTTTTCATAGACTTTCTTTGGTTTTACGGTGTACCTTAAAATTATAATTAACAACACAAAGACACGGTTTGTTTTCAAGTCAAACTTGAAAAAAAAATACCAAAACATAAAGGAAGCCTATAAGATATTAAATGTGTCTTGTGTTCAAGCAAAAAAAAAAAAAAGTATTAATACTATTAACTCAGTGTAGGAGACTTATTAAACCAGCTTAATACATTTAATAGAAAATTTTCCCCACAAATTAGGTCATTTGGCAATAGTTTAAAATTTAAGAAAAAAAAAATTGGCTTAAAAAAGGCATCCCATAAACATCATAGCACTTGCACAATAAATATCCCAGGTTATTGTTTTGCATCAGTGATGCAAAAAAAAAAAAAAGCTAAGATTTTTTCCACTAGTCAAGAACAGGAAAATATTCAGATTAATGGAATGCCTACATTCTTCAGAAGTACAGTGAGAACAGAAAATTATTTCCTATATGTAATAAGGTCACAGAATATTTATCAAAAGACTTCTGAGTAATGAAGTTAGTAACTTAGAGAAGTAATTATTTATAATTAACAAAGTAATAATATTTCACTCATTAAACAGAAAAGGAAGTCAGAACTATGAGAAGCAAAGGCCCATTACTGCAGTCATTAAGAGTCATAAAGCAGCAAAAATAATGTGGTATGGAGTCCTTGCACATCTTTGTGAGCTCCCTTAGGAAGATGTACAACCTTGGAAGAGATACTAAATTAATAGTTGCTGTCCTGTATAAAGTCTTCTCTAAAAAGGACACTAGAAAATGCAAATTTTGTTCACCAATTTAAGGGTTTGATTTTGGTTGCGGTTTTTACAAAAGGATTATGATGCACACACACATAGCTCTGAAGTTAGATTGATTTAAACAGAATAGGTACATTAATATTAGACTGCGCTTTTAGGCCAAGGACAACAGCAGAATTTCCCAAAGGACAGGTATAAATAAGTCTGAAATCAAGAGATATCCTATAGCAAGTAATTATTTCTTTAATTACAATAGGCTTTAGATTGTCAGTGCCTTTTAAACTCACCGATACAAGACAAGGCTGTTTTTTCAAAACTTGCTCACTTGCAAAAATCATCCCCTGGTTCTTATACAAGATGAGAGAAAGATTGAACAATTGACTTTTTAGTTTTCCAAAGCCGACTCTAATGCTTGTAATATTCCATGTTTAAACTATTGGCTGAAATTGTTTTATTCTTTGTATTCCTCCCCAATTTGAATTCAGACTTAGCTAGCTTTTCCAACAACAAATAAGGGGGAGGGGGGAGGGAGAAGGAAAAAAAAAAAAAAAAAAAAAAATCACTTTTGTTAGCCCTCTATGGGTAAAAGTGACCCAAATTATATTTAAGCTCCCATTTCATAGAATGAATGATCACCCCTCATAAATTTCAGCTGCAGAATATTTGTTACTGGGAGCAATAGGTGAGAGTCGAACTTGGTCCCTAACTGGACCAAGGCATTTTGGCATCCTCCTGACCAAGGATTACCAGGAAACACCATGTATCCAGATACTGGGCACAATTTATGCATGATTATATACATGCAATCCTAAGTACCATTGTGGCCTGCCATCTAAACCTCGCTTCAATGTCTATGAGCCTTACTCTGCAGTATACCTGAGTAAATGGGCAGAGGGATCTTTTTAATTCTGCATCATGAAATTTGAACTAGACTCATCCTGGCACAATGAAAAGCCACCTTATGATGTCATTACTACTATTTCCAACTGTAACTTCTTTTTAAGTCTATTACTAGACAGTTCCAGTCTAGCTTATTTATAATATATGAGGAGCAAGAAAGGAACATCAATATAAAAGACTAGGCACACAAAGTTAGAGTTGTAAGTGGCCATAAACATTTCCCTGCTCCCTACAGCGCTAAGCATTACAAAACCAGAGATACCTGTAGATCCAACAAGCATTCCGATTCAGGCTAACCTATTCCTTCCTGCTCTGCCCCATCTGAACCCGTAATATTTGCTTGACTGTACCTGCTGCCAAGCATTTGGCAGGAGGCCTGTGTTTAGATAATCACTGGTCAGCTAAAAAAAGATTACAAAACTCTTTGATGTAACAAGCTACTGGGAACAAGAGACAATTGATTAAAAGAAAAAAAAATCTGAAGTCAGATAATATTGAAATAAAACTAGCAAGCATCAACTTTATTGCAAGCAATTTGTCATCCCAGTATTGCCAGATGTATTCACCACAACATCCATTTCCAGGTTCATCACAACATTCGTTTTGAGGTAGGCAAGTTCTATGCAAGACAAATTGCAACACTGATAGCAAAAGGCAGTAACACTGCAAGAAATGCAAGGCAAAATATCTTTACAACTTCTCTCTGTCCCTCTGAAACACAGCAGGATTTTTAAAGGACTTTATAAAAAGTGTTTTAGTGTTGCCAAATTAGAATTGATTATAATACTGTAATTAATGATAGCAAAATATTATTTGATATACAGAAGTATTCTTGGCAAAGGTACTATGAACTGAAAAATAACTTGAAAATATCACACTGACAACAGAAAGAAAAAACTTAGCAACAGAAACAATTCCAACTGCAGCCTCAAAAACCAGTACGTTGTTCTGGTGAAAAACAACACACAAGACTGGAGGGACTTCCAAATACAGTGGATTAGCACTGTTCAAGGGGGAAAAGTATTAGGCCTCTATAGCCTAGAGAGAAAAAAGCATAACAAGGAATCTGAAACATGACAAATTAAAATAAAATAAAAGTAGCATTATGTTAAGCAGCAAGTGTGAGTAACTACTGGCACAGAAGTAGTAGACTCTCCATTACTGTATGCCTTCATAATAGGGCCAGATGCTTTTCTAGAGTCTGTGCTTACTTTACTCAAAGTATTGGGCTCAATTCTAAAACAAATGAGTTAAAAATAACAGGAAATGACAAAAATAAGGTCAAGATAAATAATCTAATGGTCTTTCAGTATGTGCATAGGGGAAGCCTTTACAATATCACTTCTTTCTGTGCCCTGCAAATTATGATAGTTCAATCAAGAAACAGTTATTTGCACACAGTTACCTATGCGTGCAGTAATTGTACAGATGTGGTGAGCATCAACAATGTCTCAGAGACAGCAGAGGCTCTGTAGAGGCTTTACATTTCATGCAGGCTCTACAAATGTATTTAAACATGCGTCCATATGTTATTTCTGTTAAAAACTTCAGTCACTCTAACAGTGACAGGCTCACTTTCCAGTAAATGTCCAGTCCCACATCACAAAAAGTCAGAGCACAAAAGCAAGGTAGGCATAGACATGTTCTTCCACCTAGATGTGCTGAAAGTTTCATGTAATGCAGTACACTTCTATCTTTCCTACAGCACTTTTGCATGATCAAGCAAAACTAGGCATAACTAAGAAGCAGAGGAAGGCAGATGGGAAAGAAGCCAGCTTACATAGATTTTTGTCCAATCCTGCAAGTCTACCTACTCAGACATAAGAGGCAATAAAACAGAGTTAGTGTCTCCTGATTCACAGCAGGAGAAACCAAAATTATCTACATGAAATTGCTGGAAACACAAAAAAGTAGTTCTAGCACTGCCAGATCCCACTGCAGTTTACTTTCTCATCCACAGAGCAAAAATCAAATTTCTGCTTCTTTATAACTTTAAGACAACAACATGAGACAAACTACTCTGCACAGAAAGAAAAAAAAAAAACAAAAACCCACGCGCCCAAGCCAGTTAATGATGGGAAGCAACATAAGTTTACTCTTTACAAAGAGATTTTATTTTTTTTTTATTTCAACCTTAGTTACTTCTTTATAGTCAGTAATAGGAGTTAAACAGAGAATACTTACCACACTTAAACTGACTAAAGCATTCGCCTTTGGCACAGGATGGCTATACAATGATTTTAACAAATCGTTTGAGTCATTTTCCTATAGGGAATATTTTTTAAAGGTAGTTAATTATTGCATAAAAACTGACTAATTACCATTTACTACACATCAAACTATATATTGACAAAGATATATATATATGTATTTAACGAGAAAGACAATTGCAATTCGCAGTGAAGTATTTAAATACTAAGTATAAAATTCAGGCCAACTTTGTATCTCAGCAAATGATTGCATCTGCAAGTTAAGTCAATCTCTTACGTACTTCCCCATACACTCCTTGAATGAACCACATTTGCAGCTGAAAATAGTGTTAACACATCTAGCTTGTCTGTGCATCTTGGACATCATCCTAAAACTGTTAGCTATGATATTTGTCTATTCAAAGTTTTACTAAATATGCAGCTACGTAGCTATATTTTATACTTTTAAAATGATTAATCAGAGCACATAAAACAGTTAATAAGGTTTGCTAAAAAGTACATGCAGCTACCAGATTTAACTAGGATCCCCCACCTTGATCTCTAAAAGAGACATTTACTTGGGAAAGAGATGCAGATGGAGTTTTTGTTTGGTTTAGGATTTTCATTCAGTTTAGGGTTTTTGTTCATGGAGATTACATTCTTTTTGTTGTCAAAGTAAAACCAAAAATATCAGTGACAAGCCAGGTCCAGCTTTTAAACATATTGAGTTTGCAGGAAGCTTCCACCTCTCCCTGCAAGAGTGATGATGTTACTGGATCTCATGCTAGTAAACAAGACTTTGGGTCTAGCTCTTGGTTAGACACAAAGTGCCTGGGCCAGGAGGGAGCAATGTCCTCTAACAGCCTCCTCAGCAACAGATATGGCACTAGGCAATACAACAAAATACTCCTGTACACTGCTAAAACATTCTGACCCATCAAAACAGTTTTCTCAGCATATAGGACAACAAACTTACAACCCAGCAACTTAAATTGGTTGCAGTAATAGGTGCAATGCCAGAATATCTGATCAAGAAACAAAGGAGAAGACAATCCCTACCCCTTCTGTCAAATACCACCTTAGTAACAATTTTTATTACTACAGTGAAATTGGGGCCAAAACCAGAGTGTCATTAAACCACTTGTAAGACTTAAACATATTCCACACTTTATTTAAACACAGCTAACACCAAACTTTCCTACTGAATTTTCTTTTTACATAAAATATCACCATTGTCTATAGTGCATTTATTATAATGCACAATAATTGCTTATCCTATAGTTCATATATTCTTGAAATGTCAGCTTTTCCAGTCTACAGCATATGGCTGACTACTGATGCCTTTTTTTTTTTTTTTTAATTACAATCTAGTACACTAATATAGTTAAAGCAGAAAGGTATAGCTTTAATGTTCTCAGTAAAGACAGATGCCAGTATTTCCTTTCCTGCGTAATCCCGGAATATGTTTAATTGCTCATGAATATGCAAACTAAACTATCATGATTCTTCACCAAATGCTGTAAGTAATTTTGTCTTGCTAGTTGAGATGACAGAATTACAAGAGGTAGTTTTTAGTTAATATGAAGGGTGAAACAGTACATCATATTTTACGCACTTCTGAAAAAAAGTGTTTGTAACTGATAATCAGATAGTTCCAGAGATCTACAGTTTACAATCAATACGTCATACAGATCTCCAGTGATGTGACACTTTGCTCACACTTCACCCAGGACTTGTTTATGCTAAGACTGACACTTTATAAAGGTATATTCTCAGCAGCTTTTTAAGATTAATGCAGGATTCAAGTAACAGTGGCAGCAGCTGTATGTTCAGATTCTCTGAATTTCAATATGATGAATGTAAAAACTTCTTCCTAAATTCTAATAAAATTTTAAACGGTATGGAATCACTTTACAGCACTTCAAATGGTGACTATTATTTAAAGGAAAATATTTTACACAAAGAAATAGAATATCTAAAATTACCTGTTCTTTAGCCAAATAATCTGCCAGGGTATTTAGGAGCTTGTAGTATACCTCAAACCATGGTAGGTAACTAAAACAGGAGAGGAAAAACATTTTAATAAAATATCAATGTATTTTTTTTCCAGTGCTTATAAAATACTACTACGACTAATCTCACTTGCACATTTGTATAATATTTCTACATATAAATAAAATGCATATAGAAGTTTTCCCCCCAAATTTAATGGTACTTCACCGATAAATAGTAGCAAAGCTACGTTCCTTTACGCTGGACACCTGCTTGAAGTTCCATTAAACATGGATTAGCTCATAATACTTTCACTTCTCGTTATTTTAAAGGCACCAAAAAAAACATTTTAAACATTGCCAAATCACATTTCCATTATCTTTAATTGTTAGGGCTTTCAGTAGTTGTTATCTGCAATTTTGAAATTCTATGTCCTGTTGTACCTGGTGGACTGCCAGAACTGCTGCCTCCATAGAGAATGAAAAACAATTTTGCCTGGGCAGACCAGGTACCCCTTATTTGACAAATGGTGCAATGCTATGCAGTAGTATAGGTGTCACATTATATGCAAGAATATTGGTCTCCCTACAGAGTCACCTCTATAGATAGAATTAACTTCTAAAAATAAGAGAGCATTCACCAATATTGTAAACACACAGCACATTAATACAGGAATACTTAATAGACTTTGAACACAGTTCTGCAGCCCATATGTATGCAATACTCTGAGTTAAACAGAATCCAAGATAAATAAGACATAACTGAGGAGCATGAGAAAAGAAACTCAAACATAGTAGCATCAGTTACATGATTTTGTCATCTATTTACAGAACAGTTACCTTTAACAGTGACATCATCAGGGACCGCATGCTACAGAATTTTCCATAATCACTATTTAAGCCCATGATACATATGTAGTAAGTCTGGTAAACTAAATTGTACCAGTACAAATTACTCCTTATTTACAAATTACACAGCTTCTGACATCTGTGAGAATTTTATCACAAAGAACATTACTAAAATGGTAATAGTATGGTTAATATTAGTTGTTTGAGATTAGGAGGGCTGGGAAGGAAATGTTTTTACTACATTTCATACCCATATGTAACAATACCACACACCTTATTATTCAGTGCAGTGTAAATCAACAGACATACTTTCAATGCATTTCTTAAAAGCTTTAGTGCGTGCTGTGGACAGACATTAAAATTTAAAAATTTATATATTTCAGGAAACATGCTAACTGCAACTGAAAAAGCCCAGTCTGCAGAACCTAAATGTCCTTCCTGTTAGGAAAAGGAAACCCTGGCTAGTAGAGAAGCCAAGTCTACTTTGGTGCAGTGAGTCCAGCGAAGGGTGTCGTGGTTTAACCCCAGCCAGCAACTAAGCACCACGCAGCCACTCACTCACTCCCCCCCATCCAGTGGGATGGGGGAGAAAATCAGGAAAAGAAGTAAAACTCCTGGGCTGAGATAAGAACGGTTTAATAGAACAGAAAAGAAGAAACTAATACTGATAATGATAACACTAATAAAATGACAACAGTAGTAATAAAAGGATTGAAATGTACAAATGATGCGCAGGGCAATTGCTCACCACCCGCCGACCGACACCCAGCCAGTCTCCGAGGGGCGAATCCCTGCCCCCCACTTCCAGTTCCTAAACTAGATGGGACGTCACATGGTATGGAATACACTGTCGGCCAGTTTGGGTCAGATGCCCTGGCTGGGCATGAGAAGCTGAAAAATCCTTGACTATAGTCTAAACACTACTGAGCAACAACTGAAAACATCAGTGTTATCAACATTCCTCACATACTGAACTCAAAACATAGCACCGCACCAGCTACTAGGAAGACAGCCAACTCCATCCCAGCTGAAACCAGGACAAGGGTTACGTTTTCTTTGTAACACCTCTGTTCTCAGTACGCAGCTGGCAAGGCGTTAGAAACAGATCCCAACTCTCAGGGCAAAGAAAGAGAACAGCAGAAATCTGAACATAGTTATAGTTATGCATTTTCTAGCAATCTTACTTTCTTATCCTTATAAATGCTTAACTGGTGGTTTAAAAAAAAAAAAAAAAAAACACACAAAAAAACCCCCCATGAATTTACTTTTGCTGAGCCAAAGAGACACTGAGGCAATGATTTCTTTTACAGCCACTGTATTAATGTCTTTATCTCACTTTATCATACACTGTACTGGCTATTAATCAAAAATACATCAACCTCTTAATGCTCAGAAACATTTTTAATGCTTAGTATTGTTGACAGTAGTTAAGGTGTGACATTACTGCATTTGCTTTTCAATATATTCTTATATAATCACAAAATTTACTTCATTGCACCTGTATAAGGCAACTCAGTGCTTGCAGGCATTAACGCTGCACGCCCTTGCAAAACACCCATCATAACAGCACCTAAAACATCTGATCTTTGAGTTTTCTTCCACCTAGGACTCCTGTTCTATTCTCTTCTGAAATCACATTAACCTGGTTTTACATGTCGCTGAAACGCAGCGTAGACAGGCAAACAAAATTGTTCACCACAGTGCTCAGAGTACCTGCAAATGTCAGAGCTATTGAACATTTTTACCAGCCTAGAATTACAGCAGGGACCAGAACAATGTTCTAGCGTTTTGACTAAATCAAGGTACAAGGTAGGTATAAATCGCAAAGTATTTTTATAACACTGGACACACAAATGGGTTAGATTATCTAAAAGCTTTGCAGTCTTTTGCTATCACCTCTGCATTAGTAATATACATCAACCCAGCACGTTTTGCTGTAGAATACTCTAAAATCTTATGTGATCATTCGTTTTTCATAATGAACATTTATGAACAGCATTCTATAAAAATAAATGCTACTTCAATAAAATATTAACCATATTTCTTTCTTGTATTTATAATCTCAATTCTCCTCTTGCTGTGAAAAGAAAAATTAAATGCAATTTTTAAGTCTATGCATAAAAAGGTCAAATTCATTATTTGAAATTAATGAACCCTAGCAGAAAGCCAAGGGAGGTTTTACTTTAATACGGCAAGGCTTGCTGACCAGAGTACTCATAAAAGAATTTCTTCCCTTAGCAAAATCAGGTTGATGATACACTTCCATGTCTTCATGTAACAAAACCACAAAGAAAAACATTGTAAAAACAGACTACTTGAACACAGTTTAAAAATGCCAGTTGCCTTTCTGAGCCGAAAGACTGGAAAAAGAATTGCTTTAAGCCTTATAACCACAGACATAAGGTTAATATAATTTCAACATGCCTCTTAAGCCTGAAAAATTAAGGAAATCAAAACAAGTACTCCATTACATTATATGGCATGAAACCAAAGGCCACCAAGACCTGTCCTCTGTCTCTTTTCCACATAATCTTCAGTTCTTCAGAAGCATGGTTTAATTGCAAAAGTTTTTGTCAGTATTTTTAATTATACTGTACTTTCTGCAACGGAATATTACAAAGATCTACTCAAAAGCAAAAAAAAGTTCCCTTTATATTTTTCTTTTATGTATTTGCTAACTGCTATTAATTCAGTGTAATAAAGAATTGTTACATTTGTTGTTTTCATAAGCAAGAGTACATTTGTGTGTGTGCATATAGAATGCATCTCTGCATTCAAAACTAAACATAAACACAGGTTGGTTGTTCATAATAATGACAGCTATCAGGTGGCATTTTAGATTCTCAATTCAAACAGCAAGTATAAGCTCTTTTTATTTTGTGACATCCTCAAGGCTGTCAAGCAACATTTTTGTCCTCTTGTATCACAGGCTGATTTTGCAAGCACATGTGATAATAATCCTATTAATTTATTTGGACTACTCTAGCAAACAGATTTATTCATAGATGAACATTCCCGTGATACAGCCTTTACATCTTTATCCAGTATATAGTATTGGATAAAGCACTGTATAAGAATCATAGAATCATTTAGGTAGGAAAAGACCTTCAAGATCATTGGGTCCAACCATTAACCTAGCACTGCCAAGTCCACCACCAAACCATGTCCCTAAGTGCCACATCTACAACTCTTTTAAATCCCTGCAGGGATGGTGACTCAACCACTTCCCTGGGCAGCCTGTTCCAATGTCTGACAACCCTTTCGGTGAAGAAATATTTGCTAATATCCAATCTAAACCTCTGCTGTTGCAACTTGAGGCCATTTGCTCTCGTCCTATCACCACCTGACAGAAGAGACCAGCACCCACCTCACTACAACCCCCTTTCAGGTAGTTGTAGAGAGCGATAAGGTCTCCCCTCAGCCTCCTCTTCTCCAGGCTAAACAGCCCCAGCTCCCTCAGCCACTCCTCATGAGACTTGTGTTCCAGGCCCCTCACTAACTTGGTTGCCCTCCTCTGAACACGCTCCAGCACCTCAATGTCTTTCCTGTAGTGAGGGGCCCAAAACTGAACACAGTACTCAAGGTGCGGCCTCACCAGTGCCGAGTACAGGGGAACAATCACCTCCCTGCTCCTGCTGGCAAAACTATTTCAGATAGAGGCCAGGATGCCTTTGGCCTTCTTGGCCACCTGGGCACACTGCTGGCTCATATCCAGCCTGCTGTCAACCAGCACCCCCAGGTCTTTCTCTGCCAGGCAGCTTTCCAGCCACTCTTCCCCAAGCCTGTAGCATTGCACGGGATTGTTGTGATCCAAGTGCCGGAGCCGACGCTTAGCCTTGTTGGCTTGTATGGCACTTGTGTGTGCGAGAGCTGAAAACCAGAAGCACTACAGGTAAAAGAATCTTCTTAGCTTGTCCTGTTAGCAAATCTTGCAAAATTATTTAATCTTTGTTTAGCACAGAACTAGTCTATGTACAGAAAAGTCATCCAGCACACAAATGTCCATCAACATCTGTTAGGTTGGGTAACAATTTTTTTCAGGTCAGTACAGAAATGCACTGTCTGCAAAAAATAGTATTGAAATGGCTGAATTTAACAGACAAGACCTGTAATATATTAGCCCTAACTCAAAACTGTCACACTAATATGTACCTTAACAACAGATAAAATCAAAATTAAATTCCATTACTAGCAAAACCTTACCATCATATTTGTATTCATAAAATTATTTATGAGCAGTGCATTTCACAGTTAATTAGCTGACTTACGGAAATGTCAGAAGGTTATCAATGAAGCCCCTTCCCAGTAGATAAAACAGAGGAAAAACAGGGCTTTAATGTTCAATTTTAATGTCATTAGAAGCCTAATCTTCAAATACATATAATTTAGGTTCTTAAACTATGAAACCATTATTGTTTTCTTGTTTATTTTTCTTTAATTGTACACTGTCTGCATCCTTCACCTTACAATCAGTAACTGTTTGAGAAACAAACATACGAGACAAGCATACAACCATTTCTGTAAAGTTGCCACAAAACATTTCTCCCATAATAATGAAAAGCATCAAAACATAGGAAATATTGCTTTGATATGAATTCCCTGGTTGAGAATACAGTGGTCTCTATTTAAAAGTACAGCCACTACCTGTCACAAAAGCAAGAGCCCAAGATATTTCATGGTTAATTAAAAACGTACATAGCATTTTCTTTTAATCAAAATGAGCCACAAGGAAGGAGCTCAGACTTTTATTCAAAGTCACGCGTAACCCTTGTTGCCGTAAGTAGACTTCCACCTCACTGGTGCTTCTACTATAGCTCTGATAAAACTTTTACATTCATGAGTCAAAGGTTAAATAAAGGAGAGGAAATGTTTTCTGTCAAATAGTCAGGTAACCACTAACAGTCCTGAACTATCAGCAGGAATCTAACTTCCAGTAATCAAATAAAACTAAGGAAACTGCCTTTCCGTAGCTAAATGTCTAATGTCTAGGGGCTACTTTTCTGTCTGGAAAATTGACACAAAATGTGTAAAATTGAAACATTCTGCTTCTAAGGGATTTGCCTAAAGGAAGAGCGAGAAAGCTTCAAGCATGGTCTGAAGAACTACAAAGGCTTACCACATAAACCTGTCTTCCTTATTAGAGCATTTCATTTGGAAACATAGGTGACAATTTTACAGTCATAAAATTAATGAAATCTAAGACTGAGCATTTTAATGATGTATTTTGCGTTCCTCTGTGTGACCTTATGGATACATAAGGTCAACCTCAGAGTCCATCAACAGTTTCAAGATTTTTTAACAAAACAAATTTCAGTCAAATTATTTGCGCTTTGTACTAAAACCATTCCAGTAATTCAAAAACAATTTCATGTAAACCCAGAAAGTATTATTCCTACTGCAAACAGCAGTGATATTTAGAAACAATACCCAGAAGAATTAAGTCTCCTTCTATTGTTCAAAAGTGAACACTGATGTTTCTACTGTGTCACTTCAAATCTCAACTGGCAAAACTGTTTCTTGAATTAAAATATAAAAAGTAAAACTAGATGAAAAGATCCAGTATAGTATAGGAGCACAACAAGGTATATTACAATATTCCTATTGTGGTACCCCTTGTTTTTACGGGGCTGCATTAGCTCAACAGCTTGTGGAGAGGGAGGAGGCAACACAGCAGGATTCACACTGAGACCTTCACAAAGCAGCCATGCAGTTTAAAAAACAAAAAAACCAAAACTTGCAAACGAATCACACAAAACTTCTGGAGAAGAATCCAAGACACATTTTCTCATCTTACTCTGGCTTTGCACTTATTGGCACTTTGAATTTGGCAACTGCAGTCAAGCTCTGCAGGGTCATTTTAGACAATACTGTATCACAATTAAGTTCTTCAAATAAAAATGCCTGAGATAGCTACCTTGGGGGATTTTTATTTTGCTGTATAAACATACAGAGAACTTGAACAAAACATTCTGATTTGGGAGAAAATTTTGTTTACACAATTCATACACGTGTATATAAAATAAAAAAAACCCATAAAACATATCAAGCATTTTATACATACAAGCATATTTTCTGTTTCAAACTATCCAGTTTAAAGCAGGACCATGTGGCTGCAAATTCAGAGATGATTTCCTTTAATTACTGTTTCAGATGAAGAATGAATTATAGAGAGAAGTCCCATACACTGCAAAACTTTAACCTTAGAAGCAGCTAGCTTTAGGTTGTTGGTGTAAAACCTGAGGACAAGCAGCCTTTTGTTCAGTTTTCAGTTAAGAATCCTGTTCAGCAGTTCAAATCCTATCTCTTTAGCTGCCCTGGCATAGGTTACCACACGGCCTGGTACCATCTACAAAAGACATTCACAAGAGAAAAACTGTGTCCTGTCCCCTACCCATCAGTCTACCCAAATTTCTGTAGTGTTCTTTCTCATCACTTTGACTGGATTGTTTCTGCTCTTCTTTTCAGAGATTCTTACTTCGATTTTAGCTATTTATGACCATTTCATTTAGTTAATTTTTCTGTATTTGGGTATCTCTAGTTGTCTTTGTTAAAGCTCTAGTCAGCAATCTTAATGTATTCCTCTTGTTTGAGATGATATACATCTATGTGCATATATAGATCTCTAGTTAGACATGGTATTTATGTACGCCTACATTTGTGTGTTTATATAAAAGTCTATGACTATTGTGTACATATCTGTGACAGACAAGTAGTTTTAATTGTTCATACAGAGTCATTACGTGTATATATGCATAGTGAATATAAATTTATGCTATTTTGGTGGAAGAGAGCAAGTGTGAACATGCATACACACTCTATATAAAAAGACAGCACTCATTTGTTAAGATTTCTTTGATTTTGATTAATTTAACATCAACAAGCATGTACAAGGGAAAGCCAGATAAAATGCCAAAAGAAATCTGCTAGTGAGTCATATTCCACTTGGTCACTTCTAATGAATCTTGGATTCAGAGCAGAAACGAGACTGGATACTAAAATGCATCGATGGAAATACTGATGCATTCTTTCTTTCTGAGCTAAACACAACAAACACACAAATTGGAGAGAAACAGACTACCAAGCTAGAAGTACAATGCTGCGAAGCTAGTGCTGTTATACACTCAGCTATGCATTGTAAATTTGAAATTGTCACAGTAAAAGCAATGCTTTGATTACAGTTCGGTGAAAAATTATAGCTTGCCACTTTTCATTTTCCTCGTTACTTCTACTAAGTAACAAACTTGGTTGACTAATCTTGAGCTGATGTGCATCTGTGGGGAAATGTTAAAAGAAATACCCAAGCTTAAACCAGCTGAGAATCTGAGTCCTTTGCTTTGCAGCACTACATACAGTATTTAAATCTGCGTACTTGAGTGTGTGTAATGGATTAAACATTTGTTATTACAGCATTATAAGCCAGACTGACAATGTTAGGAGTACAAGTAAAAAATTCTGTTTCTAGCTTGATGAGGGAAGAAAAGGTTAACTCAGAGAAAAGAGCTAAAAGCATACACATACATTCTCACTCTGGGCCTTAACAAGATATATCAACAAAAGGTATCACAGAGAAAAGGACTAAGTATTACACACTCTAAAATCCTAAGAATTAAATCTTTCTGAAGTATTATTACAGAAGTATTGTCAGGATCACAGAAAGTCAATTCATTTCCAGAATAAAATCTTTTCCTTTTGCTGTTTTCATTATATGGTAGTAATTTTTTTTTTTTTTGCAATATTTATAGCAAATACTTATTTCTAAATTACTTGCCCCAAAACATCTAGTGTATTGGCTCTCAACATTAGTTTGGAATCTGTTTAAAAGCTCACAAAAGTCTTAATGTGCTATTTCCAATAATTTTAAGCACTACTCTACAACTTTCTGTATTGTCTGGTCTTTTTTTCCCCTCCGCATGTTCTTTTACTGATAATCTTTTACAAGTTGATGTTGGGTTTGCCTCCCTAACTCATGTGGTCTATCCTAATGACACCTTCCATGACTGCCTGATTTCCATGTTGTCCAAATACCCAATAATCTGCTTTTCTCCATAAGCTTCCTAGCTTACTCTCCAAAATCCTCCAAGTTGCCCCTCTGCTGCCAGTGGGTGTGGCTCTTTGGCAGCACATGGCTCCTCTTTCACCTTGTGTTTGGGGATTCTCACTTTGAAGGCAATTATATTTCAATCTTGTTCTTCTCATGCGCTGCTGAACTGATGTTCCCGTTTCCTCTATGGGCATTACATGCTGCTAGGCTCTTAAGTGAAGTTGCAAATTTGCCTTTTAATTAAAGCACTCTACCTTTTAATTAATTTAATCAAAAGGGGGTTAAAACAGCTAAACAATTGTTTTTTCATTACCAAAACAATTATCTTATAGGAGAAGAAAGAAAAAGTGGAGAAACAAAGTATTTCACTGGGGTCAATTTCTCCATCATCAATATCTCTTCTGCAACAAAGAAGCATGCTCTTTATTGAAAATTACCTGGCTCTAGCATTTCTGTATTAGATATAGTCTGGCCAAAGAACATGGAAGAGATGCCCAAAAATCATATTTCTAACGAGAGGAATACACAATAGTGCACTATATTGTTAAACTGATTGGATACCTGTCAATGATCTTGTTAGAAAGTAAAAATATCCATATAACACTCAAAGCCTCTATAGCTGCAGTGTATTGTTCTCTGCTTTTAAGCAGAGATTTCACGTGATTTAAATAGAATTATTTAGCCTCACACAAGAATACCATCACATGGGGCTTGGGACCACTTTTCATGTGAAATCAATGGTAACACTGTTGTAGAGAAATGATATCCTGGTAGACATGTAAAACACATTAGCAGAGAATTCGCAAGAGACAATTTTTTCTGTTTTTTTTTCTTATATTCACTCCTTGTCTCAATTTTTCTTATACTGACTTACCTTAGAATACAGAGGCAGACCTTGCCTCCTGATGTCAAACGGCAAAATCCAAACCTTTGCTTACTTTCAATGTCGGTGAGCACAAAGGTAAAATGCTGTCCTACTTGGTTTTGGGACACCCTGAAAAATTAGATACAGAACATAAAACCACTAAATCACATGAAACATGAGCATTTAAGTCATTGGTCTCAAGCATTTTCATGCTCAAGCCTTACTATCCTTCTCTCCCTTCCCACCATCCAGGCTGTCTCTTGCACCCCACTCCTTCCCTTTGGCACAGAAGAGCCCGGGTCCTTCCTTCAGCCATGCCTCCAGCTGCCGCTCCGGCCCTGTGCTCCAGCTCACGTGCTCCACAGCATCTGGCCCCTAGTCTGAATGGATGGGGCATTTCATAAGGTTCTTTCCTAAGTAAAGCCTAAGCAGAGCCAGTACAAGACTGCCATAGCTTGTTGGCTTTGAGCACACCTCAACAGTGGAAAATGGTAACCAAAATGAAGGTTTAAAATTCTAAAAAACAATTTATTAAATGTCATAATACAGGCCTGGATTAAGACAGCCATTAGAAAACTAGCTTGTTGGTTTTTTTTTTTTTCCCTTCAGAATAGCTTCATTAGTTAAACCCATAACCTTCCCATGCACCCACACACATCTTCCTCCCTTTTTTGCACTACACATTGCCCAATGAAGAACTTGTTGCTAAGTTCATTTGCCAGTGCAAACTTGTTTGGTTCTGGAAATGCAAAAGCCAGAAAATAATCACAACTAACAGCATGAGAGCTAAAATAATAAGTAACAGTATCTTCAAGACTGTATCAAAACATGTACCCTCTTGAGACAGAATAAGTTTACACAGAATTTCCCTGCCTGATGTTCCAACTCCTCTCATCCCCACACTCTGCTCAGCCAGCGTTCCCTCAGCAGTGTTCACAGTTTCTACCTCCCTTCCAGTGTCACCTCTGATGCCTTGTACTCATCTCCAGGTCCCCATCCCAACCTCCATGCCTGACCCCCCACCTTCTGCTTGACAGTATGAACCTTTTCCCAATTTCTTTTTAAGAAGAAATGGCATCTTCACTGCCATGATGTGTCTCTTATCTCCTTTATGCTCTCAAGCCAGGAGCTTTTCTCTCTTGTGCAATTTGTCAGCTTCAGAGAGAGAATCACTGAGATCATGGGATGGACCTGCTTTTCAGTGTGAGCAGACTTCAGTGATCTTCATAGAAATTGCAAAATGCATTCAACATTACCACTTTAGAACACCAAGAAACTGTAGCTGAAGTTTACTCACAGAAATACATATTGCACTTTTTCAAAATCTCCCAAAGAAAATCGGCATTAGGTGGAGTTGGTATTTTCAGCCAGGAGAGGTAAAGTGTTGGCATTGAATGAATCATAGAATGGTTTGGGTTGGAAGTAACCTTTAAAGATCTAATTAAAACCAAATGAAAACAAAGTTATGATGGGGAGTGCATGGAGATTTGAAAATGTAAAATGCAGCAGTTTTGCCTGTAATTCTATTGTCTGCCGTTCTTTTCCCATTCTTACATGATCTTCTACAGCAGAATACCTAAGCACCTGCTAGTAATGGCTGTAATTAGCATGTGTCATGTGTGGTTCAATCTTAGATGCCAAGCTGAAAATGAATTCCCAGAGAAGCTGAGAACCATCACAGATCTCAGTCTTCCAATCTAAGAGCACAACATATTTTTTTAATTTATCCTCTGCAATATGGGTTGGGGTTTTTTTGTTGTGGGGTTTTTTTTTTAAATCTCACCAAAATAGAACATAAAAATTTTGCCCTAGGAAAGAAAAAAGTAGCAGATGATCAACAGGCAAGAGAAGTTACATGGGACACATGCACATTATACTGCTTAACACGTGCATGACAAAAGCTTAAAGATTAGTTAAGTGATACCACTAACCAGACTGTACAGTCTCCCACTCATTTCAGTTTGGTCTAGTCCCTCGTGAACATACAGTGACTAGGCTGAAGCAAAAGCCTGCACTGAGCATATACGATGTTACAAGATACATTTAGTCCAATAAAATCACTGGAAACCCATGATAATTAATTGACTTCTTTTGGTTAGGTAATTAAATCATTAAAACAAGCATTTTCCTCATTTGTCTTCAATAGACTGGAACAACCTAGTGTGCCCTTTAAACAGTAAACGCTCAATGGCTTTCACTCAGTCCTTCATTTTTCAGGTTCTGCATAGCTAGCATGCTGCCTGTATATTACGCCTGATACAATAGAGAGCCATCAATAACAATGTGTTATTACTCCCCTGCCAATGATGCAATTTTCTGTTTCACATCTTTGCATTTTCCTCTCTTCCTGAGAGCAGATCACCACTGAAACCAGCAGTGTAGTTTCAGTATCCCTACACACACTGTGGCCGGGGGCTTACACAGTAATTCAGCAGTAGCTGATCAGTCGGTAGCACTGGTAATGCACCATGCAGCAACCTTGGCTGCCTCCTGCTCCCACTCTGTCTCTGCTCTGCTGCGTCCCACCGTTAGGCTTGAAGCTTTCTGCAGCCACGACTGGCTTTTTCTTACACTGCAACACACCTGCCATGGTTAGGCTGAGGTTTCTTAATCCAAAGAGATCACTGATAAATCACAAAAAGCAATTGTTCATAGATGCCCATCCATGCAGGCGTTGCTTTTAATGTACTGTGTACATCTATGTCAGGTAAATGACTACTCCATTACTGCTTGAAAACAATTTCTTAGCCCAAAAAACTCACATCAGTAAGGATCTCTTGCTTTCAGTTATTTGCCTCCTCCCTTCCCAAAACCTGAAGATGACAGGGGAAAATAACTGGTATTGCAATTAAAGCATACCTAAAAATGTCACTACACAAGACCACTTTAAAAATTAGATTTAAATTCTGATATTCTCTATTAAAAATAGCCTGGCCAAGTTATGACAGTGCAGCAGGAGTGTCCTAGTTTCAGGGAGGCAATTCCAACACCATCTCACCACCTCCAACTCAACATCTTCCCTTTGCTTCTTTAAGAGAAGACAACTCCATGTTTTGGCAGTCAGTGGCCAAAAGTGACCCGACTTGAAAACTGCTTCCAGGGCTAAAACTGAATCTCCACAAAGAACCTAAAAGTTTGCATTTGGTCCCATTTGCTTCAAAGGAACAGCTAACAGAAGGCAGTGACCATCCATCTGGACCACATTTTCTGATCAGAGTTTAAAATACTGAATTAATTCCGGGTTTCTAATTTGAGAACTCCACTTAAGATCTGGGGGCAGCAAGGATGCCTGGTTTTTTACTCCTCTTCAGCAGAATTAAAACTGACTATGTGTAAACCTTACAGAAACAAATAAATTATGATTGGGGATTTCTGTATATTAATAGATAACCACAGTGTAGAAACCAGACACATAAAACATTCAAATAGTGCTAGCACTACAGTTTTAACATATATATTGCATGTACCATAATCTGGACAAATTTTGGCTGTGTGACTTGGGACTCGTGCCTCCCTGTTTCACTGTGGCACATTCAGGTTCTCTGGAAGTCAAGTCTCACCTTCAGAGGCAGGTAGCAGCTCCTGGCGCTGCTGCTGAACCACAGCAATGATGCCTCTCAAGTTTTCCTTAACGTAAAAATCAACACAAGTAAAACACAATTATTACATACCAGAATTCCCTACATAAAACATCATCTCAACTTTCTATCGGAGTGCAGGATCAACTGGCCGAGCCTCAAAAACTTCCTGCAAAACGCTGGTCTAGTTGGCTATTTGAAGAGAGCATAATCTACTCACTTGCATGGGGAGAGCAGGCACAAATCGTTACCAACCATCGCTGACCTTCTCCTCACTCATTCCTCTGCCTTGCTTTTGACTTACTTCCGACTCTTGCCTTGCATGCTTACTTTTAATCTTAGTTTAACAATAATAAATCACTAATAGCGAAGAAAGTGTGTAAATAGTTATTATCCCTGAAGACTACAATGGGCTCTTTCAAGGTTGTTACAGTTCACTATAGGAATAAAAGTAGGTTTTAAAATTTTCTAAGCACATACCTACACAATGCAGAAAAGGCTCTTTGGTACCCATGGAGTAGGTAAAGAGTCATTTTAAAGATTTTTGTTTACACTATAGCCATTGTTCAGACCTCATTTTAAGGCAGCCTTGAGAGAGCTGATTAAGGCAGGAATTAAATCTCTTCTTAGAATGAAAAACAGCATGTCTAATCATTAAGTTTATCCCTTGCTCTCAGTAAGAATTGCTCTTCTTCCAAATTAATCTGTTTAGGACACAGAAGATGTTTGAAATTATTTTTTCTTCAAATTTTAGGAATTTTTAAAGGGTTCTGAATTTCAGAGAGATTTTTCAGAAAGTTTATTTTTTCAGTGAGTTTCAAAAAATGAAAGACTTTATGCATGGGAATACAGATTGGGATGACTTACTCTTAAAAGAAAACAAAGTTACCGGTATTGTTAATTATAAGGCGTCATGTACACTTGACCAATGTAACTAAAGTACACAGTTCTGATTAAAGCTTTGGCAGCTGCTACCGAAATCCGAAAATTTCAAATGTATTTTATCTCCCAATCTGATGCTGAAAAGCAAACCCCACCAGTCATTCACCTTAATTCTCCCCAGATCAGAGAATAGATTAGAAACCATTTCAAGCAGGAATTTGAAAACCAGACATTAAGGTAGTGGTACAAGCTGATGGAGAGACTGAGGAGGCAGTAATCCTAGGGTGGGCTGTCTCCTTCAACTAACTGCTATCCCCACATCTAAGCTTCAGGGACTACGTTCTCCACTGCCAAACCCACTCCATGATCCATGACTTCACAGCTCAGGCTCCCTGTGTGGAAGGCTCCTCTGCTCCAACTGAGCTATCTGACTTGAGCTCTGCTTCCCAGAAACCGCAACCCCTTAAACATCAGAAAGAAAAGGAAGAAAACTGCAGAAGACATGAAAATGTACCACCAAGTAAGAAAATTCCCACAAATAAAAAGCATAGTTAGCTTATAATTGGGGTTATGTTTTCGAAACAACAGAAGCATTAAAAGAAACCACAACTAGTTAGTGAAGAGTCTCACTGGGTTTATTTGAGCCGCAACAGACGCCTGCTCTGTCCAGGGGCCCTGGCCATCGTACCTGGCCAAGGGTCTATCGGAGCACACAGTGACTCCCTCGGTGTGCCCAGAGTTCCTTGCAGTCAGGTCCACTTCTGCACACACATGGAAGCCTAGTAACCCACTTTCGAAACCAACAGTTACACTCTTGCACGGTGCACATTGCACGCTGCAACCTGTCCTTACAAAGACTTCCCTCTTACGCTTATGTTTGATATTATGCACACACATACCATAATACAATCAGATAATGGATGAAAATAAGTCAGTTGCATAAAACTGTGGCTGCATTTTTGAGTTCAAACCTATCTTGCAAACTGACTGGAATGACTGAAGTGTACAGGAAATGCTATAGTTTATTTATCTTCACCTGTACAGCTTGAAATACATTCTCAATTACTTGCTTGTCATTCTCAACTATTTACTTTGAAGGCAAAAATTTTTGTGTAAGTTATCTTATAATTGCCTTTCACAAGATCTCTACAGCCATTGTTTTGCACTTGTCTTGATCATAGCTGTGTTTCTGCACACAGACTTTTATCAGAATTACCAACAGAAAGAGCGTTAGCCAGGAACAGGAGAGTGAAAGTGATGTCATTCCTACCATCATTACTTATTGACCCTAGCAGATTATGAGTTAAATAATATGCACAGTAATCCCATACTTCAGCAATATTCTACTGCTAATGAGAAATCTTCTACAGCATCAGCACCACTTCTTACACTCCAAAATATAACACTTCCCTGCAATCGGGTGAGCGCCACAGGGGAAATTAATGAGGTGAATTGTCTCCATGCTGATCCTACCGGCAGTTTCCAAACTCTCTTAGCTAAAAAGCCACATGTGCTACACATTCAGCCAAAGAAATGCATCCTGAAAGGGAAAAGACAGACGAATGGAAAGAGCGAGGGGAAGTATTTATGGCGGAGACAAATGAGAAAGATTCAAAGCACAGATAAAATTGAGGGGTCAAGCAGTGCCATAGTGCAACTTAGGACTGAATTTGAAATAGGTCTAATAGGAACAAGAGGAAAAGTTGCATGCTCACTAGTCATCATCCAGCTGAATAACTGATGGATGTAAAAGATTGAGGTGTGGGCTCTCTGCAAAGTTACACCTGAGTTTGGAGTTGAAACTGAAAATACAGAAGACTGCTGGAGAAAGAAAAGTGCACAAAACCATGCAGAATTTGCATAAAGGATTCAAGGAACAAGAGAGAGGACAAAGTGCTTTTTCTGATGTATTAAAATTAGTTTAGCGAACACTAAGAGGAAATTAAAATCTCTACGTTCTCAAATGTTAAATCCTCCTATTCCGTATGAAAAGAAACAGAGAAAGGAATTCTGTAGCAGAGAAAAGGAAACTTATAAATATCTACAAGCTGTTAGAATGTTATACAACTGTGCCATTTATTAAGCCTAAAATAATTTATTCACAAAAAAAGACACAGGTTCTTGGAGCAAATGCTCAAGAACTTCTATGACGCAATTCATTTCCTAACCCCTTCAAAATAAAATGTAAGCCATAACTGGCAGTAATGAAATTATGTGCTTGCTTTCAATAAAAATAAAACTCAAAGTTTAAGTCATGGTCAAACATTACACCATTGTGCCTTTTCTGACTTGATTCTCAGTTTAAATTTAATGGGAGTTACCTCAAGATTTTTAATCACCATTCACAGTATGTACTTTTGATAATTAGAACAAGTAGTGTACAGTTATTTATAGCATCTACATAAAAGATAAAGTAAGTATGTCTAGTGAGATGATGTAAGCAGCATCAAATAGTGAGAACTAAATCTGGATCTCTGTCTACGATCACTGTAGCACAGTGAATAAAACAAAATCAAATACAGGTTCTCATTTCATTCACTTTTCAATTCATTCACTAATTAATACAGGTGAGTTGGAAGAAAATAGGTGACGATGGTCTTACCACCGTGCGTTAATGGTGCTTTAACTTTCCTATTTCCGTAATTTGAAGAATACAAATTTCCTACTTTAATGAGTTTTATTTAGCCAGTTAATAGAAAAGATATGCCATTCCCTCCAACTCTGCTGTATAGTAGGAACCCAGAAGCAATCTATGGAACAGAGTCCCATTTTTTTGTTCTAGGTATCTTGATCATCAGCATCAGTGGAAGTTACACTTTTGCACTGGTAATTTCTAGCTTTTACCAGGATCAGATATTGCTTGAAGTGGTTTATATATGTATAGAACACATAATACAGGTTGAGAAACTATGGTCTCTAAAGTACAATATGCTCAGTCAATGAAACAGATACTTTATGTTTCACTTCAGTCAAAGTTTTCTGTACAGAAATTGTCATTGAAATTGCCTGCAAAACACCTGGGGATATTACACGTATGGTCTATCATGATCCTATATACAAGAAAAAAAAAATTATGTATATATTTTTACACACACAGATATATATATATTCATCAGACAAGTGAAAAGCACTTATGGCTAGACAAAAACTAAAATGTTTGTCACATCTTAAATGTCCACTGGAAAAAAAGACATATAGAAAGGAGCTACAGCAGTGGTTTTCTCAATCCTTTTTTTTATCAGTCCAAATTTCAAACCAAAAAATAAAACTGAGAAAGCAGAAGACAATTGGTTTTCTTTAAAAAGAGGTAATGTATGTCTTTACTATAGAAAATGCTTGAGCTAAGTAGTAAAAGGTACACTACACAGCCAGTAAGTTGTTCACACAAATAGCTTGCCAGTAAATAGTCGCCTGGTTTCTTGAATGAGCTTCCAGTATTTCTGTCCTTCTCTGCCCCTCCTCCTTGTCCATGCTCTTTTATACTCTCATGATCCCGCACTGCCATTGGTTCTCCCACAAATCCCCTAAATCTCAGCTCCCAGCTAAGCAAGAAGCTGTGAGTGCTGTGGCTGATTTTAAAGATACCACAGTACTGCCTGAGCAGTCAGCAGGCCCAACCGATCACGTCAGTTTTGTTCCCCTCGTCAGTATATCTCAACTTCCAAGAACCTCTCCTCCTTCTGTCCAACTGCCAATTTATACGAAATTTGTAGAAATTTTGCCCCTTTGAGAGCATGGCTTTACAGTCAAGTACGAGGCGAAGAGTCAAAAAGCAAGTCTGGGGAGTGGGGACAGGAGGGTATTAACAGACAAACAACAAAGATCCCATAACTTTTTCTTTTCTTTTTTTTCCTTCAGATACTCAACTAAAATACATACCTAGCTATGCTATAAATTCATGTATTCCCACAGTTTATTGATTAAGCTTATCCATCTCATACAAGCAACTAAGTGTCTTCTGAATGGTTCAACAGAAATAGTTAATGCAAGACGACTTACTTGAAAATAATTATTTGCTGCCACTGATTATCTTCTTGCCACTGGATGGCAGCAACAGAACCTCACCTTTTTCTGTTGTCCCCAAATTTTATTTCCATTATTCATCTTCATTACCAATTTTAAACAGAATTCTGTACATATCTTAAGCACATTAAAGACTTTAATGCTTTAAAGCCAACACTGACAACAATATTAGTTAAGTCATTAAAACAGCTTAAAGGACAGTGAGCTTAACCAGTTCAAAACCAAAACAACTTAATTGAATTCAACTATAAAAGACTAAACGAACCTAGTTTACTTCAGAGAAGTTGTGTTTATGAAGATCTTTTTTTTGCCAGTGTGTTTTTCTGCAAAGCCTCTCTTCTTTCCTCTAGACACACACCACCTTTTACTCCACTGATAGCTTCTTGCATCTGATAGAATTCCTCATCCTTGAGTCTCCATCTACAACTGATGCCAATGTTGTTCTGAAACCAGCTCAGCCTGCACACTACCTGGGTGTATCTTTCAGTAATTATGCAAATCAAGCTTCTAATTCAATCTTTGCTGACTCAGACAATATGAGTTTTCCAAACTGAGTACAATTTATTAAATGAATTACCATTAATCATTTTTACAAGCCTAAATAAATATTTTAATTAATAAAAATGTTTTATATGAACAATTTAAATGACTGGCAGCACTACATGGAAGCCACACTATAACTGATACCAGAAAGGTAAGGGCAAATTAATTATAAATAATGGTCTTGATTCTTCTCGTGAGAAAAATCAATTGCATATTCAGTTACTTCCATGCAATTAAAGTCTTAATTTCTTTGAACTCAAACAACATGTCTTCAGTACTGCTTGGCGAGTTTTTATATCCTGGTGCACCGTAACATTTTTTTATGATGCTTGCTGTTTGAAGGAAACTATGTAATTTCCTTATATTAACACAGATGGTGTTTACAATTATAATGGACAAAACTGGGAGTTGGAATGTAGGTCTACCTTGAAAGAGATATCCCTAAAACTCTGTAAAGGTTGCATTTTGCTGTGATAATTTCCTACTAGTGATTTTACACTTATTTGAACAACAAAAGACATGTTCTTCTCACCTGCAGGTGCAAGTTTAGGGAGTACAATATGTTTTCCTTTTCTTTAAATCTTTCCTTGCAATTGTGCTAAATATCATTTTCTATGAAATATTTTTAAATAAACGATAACTGCACCACATACCTTTCAACGTCAAAAGGAAAGCAGAACTTTGGAACACTGTTCAGCACTTCCTGTAAATACAAGTAAAAGAAATAAAGTTAGGGTTTGTGAAAAGGCTTTTGGAAGGCTTTTAGGACAGTTGCTAGTGACTGTCTTTTAAAAAATATCCCAAAATACTAATAACAAATAATAAATTCAAGGAATATATGATCGAAAAAAATACAGCACACGTTCCTGGACTGAAATAATTGATTATTAAAAAGGAATTAAGTTTGTGCTTTGGCAGATTGCAAAGACAATGACATAGAAGCCCCAGGAGGGAAAGGCCTGGCCTGAAGGGTATTAACACCCTTCACATCCCCGCTGGGATTCCCTTCAACAAGGCCATATGGATTTTACAAGAAGCACCACACCATATGGGTAAGCCACGTCTGCTGCTACTTGTACCACAGACTAGCCACAGGGACTTCTGACAGATCCCGGCTCAAAAATACAAACGTTGTTTCAATTAAAATGCAGGCAGAGAAAAGGGAATGAAGTTGGCAGCAGAATGAATTACAGAGAGGTATAACAACTCTATACATGTTCCATAGTCAAATGCTGAAAATGATGGAAATCATCTGCTGGTCCAAAGGAGAAATTTATATGATTAACTCTTTGGGTTTCACAAGCAAGCCTTACTATTAATAAAGGGAAGGGGGGGAAAATCCACCAGATCTACATTCGTACCATAATATGACAGGATAACGTCACTCTTTCTTGCAGAATTTTATTTAAGAAGCTGTTTAGTGGCAAATAAAATGTGTTAATTAAAATATAAAAATGCTCTCAAAATAGTCAACATTTTCTTTAAAAAAAAAAAGTTAATTACTAGATCAGTTCGCAATAAATATTAAGCAATGATTTTAAAAGATCCCAGAAAAACAGGTTTTATTTCCTTGCTCCCAACTGGGAAAGCAAACCTTCCGTGAAATGATTCAGCTAAAAGAAACAGTCAACATCAACGTAGCTGGTCAAAGCTGTAGAATTCCCTTTTTGTAGCAGACCAACAGACATACACTGCTGTATACACGAGATAGCCCGCAAGGTATGTGTTTTCAGAAAAATGCACATTGATTGCAAATTTCCAGAGCTGCACATGTGGGTTTAAGAACTTGATCTAAGTTGTTAGCACTCTCCAGCCTGAACTCGGTGTTTACTGCATGTTGAACAGTCAACTCCCATTAAGGGAAATTATGTATTTAAATTCCTACACACCACAATGACTATTTACTTCAAACATTTGCCTGGCTCAGTGGATAGTGTAAAACACGAAGAACCCATGCAAGTTAATCAGCAAGGGACGAATAGTTCAGGAAAAAGACACCCCTGAGTACAACATGCATATGTTAGTTGCAACATTCTAAAGGCATATGATGTGCCCCAGTAAATCATCACACAGTACAAAATGGAAAAGTCAACTTTTCTAGAATTTCTAACTCATACAAGAGAGTTCAAGAAATCTTTGGAACTTTTAATTTGTCAGCACAGATAAAGAAGGGTATGAAAGCCACATGTTGTGTTTTGGGAAAGGTTATTAACTTAATTATGAACAGTGGCATTACATATAATATTCTCCAAAAGAAACTGCTCAAGCATCATCCTAAGTGCTGTGAGTGGCCACTGCAGAAGGGTGAGGAGCAGAATACGAAGAGAGCTGGTAAACATTTGAATTTCTGCAGGCAGGAAACAAGCATACGCAGTGCTGGTAGTAGCAATAATCAACTCTAACAAAAGCAAGCAAGCAGAACTTTTAACTCAGAAATTTCCAAAACATTTCCAAGTAGTCTCTCACTTCAGGCCCATAAAGCTTGTTTTTCCTGTTCCAGAGAAATAGTATTTTATACTCTACTTAAATTATCTTTCCTAATCTGCACCTATTCTCACACTATAGGAAGTCATTTTCTCCTCGCTGCTGAGGATTTTAATTGCTGCCCAGTGAGCTTAGCGCTGTCTCAGAATTGGGTATGGAAATGTATTCATTTATGTTCCCCATTGTATTCTCTCAGAATAAATTATCATGCAAGAAAAAAAAAAAAAAACAAAACCAAAAAAACGAAAGGTATTAGCTCAATATTTTGACTAAATAACCTGAACATTATGGGTATGTTTTGCAGCGTTTTCCAGGCTGAGCCGGAGGACAGCGTTTCCCCCAGCTCTGCTCCATCCCTCCCCCAGCCGGCACACGTGTACGCAACTTCTGCAGAGCAGCCTCAGCTCGCTTCCCAACTGGCAGGAGCATCCCTCAGGGGACAAGTCTTTAAACCTCCGCACTCTTTAAAATTCAACTAGCCAGCAGGTCTATAGACTGGTGTATAAACAGTATAGACAAAAAAAAAAAAAAAAAAAAAAAAAAACCAAAAAAAAACAGCACCAAAAAAACCCCCTCTCAGCTTATGTCAGTGACAAAGCAGCTCAGCAGTTGACTGCTTCTCCCCTGACAGCATAAGCCGGGTTTACACAGATCAATAGATGGAAGTCCCACCACCTAGCTTCCAGGGCTCAGGTTTCTCCCTTCATTACAGGTGCTATTCAGATTTTTAAAATGGAAGAAAACAAGATGCCCCCAAGATGCTCCTAGACAAATTTAAAATGCAAATTATATTATATACACATTCACATACACAGTCACTACCTTTATACAGTTACAGGTGATACTTTCAGTAACCTCTCTATTGAATAAAATTTGAGCTCTGTCTCCTAATGGGTCATCATTTTTAAGGATCCGTAACTCAGCCAGGACTTCCTCTTGAGTCAACATACACACTCTCAGGAAAAGAATAATGTATTTATTGTCTTTTATTTTCATAGCTTCCTAAAGGTATGTGTTTATTTCCGAAGACAAAAGGTTGTACAAGTCTTCGGAAAGTAAAACATCCTTGATTCACATGTCCCATGATTACTTCCTCCTCTGGTTCTCACAGTATTAGTGAAATGGTCACTGTGTCATAAAGGAAAAAAAATGTATACTAGGGGAAAATGATAGTGATCTTGTAAAAAAAAACCAAAAACAAATAAAAGATTATCTATTTGCTTTCAAATACTGAATAAACATCTATAGTTGCATACACAATTGAGTTTAATTGCTAAGTTAAAGGATAACCATCTCATTCCTTATGTAAGTAAGCTCCAAAAGAAAGAAGGAAATCCTAAAATTAGTATCACATGAACCATGGCATGCTGCTTCCCTCACAAAAAGCTTAAACAAAAATGGAAATTGTATTTAAGAAAGTATTTCCTTTGTGCCTATAGCACAGCAGCAGAAACTTGCACTCTCACAGGCTCATGGTCCAGCCGTTTTATTAATTCACTTTCCTCAAGTGCACTATACAACTCCAGCCTGGCCTGGTCATGCTCACTGGCTCTACATTGAGATGATATTACAGAAGCCTAAAAAGTAAGAATTATTTAGCATTCCTTGCTTATTTTGATATCCATACAGCTAATTCTGTGTATCATCATTTTATAAACCAATGTAAAAGGTGGTAGAAGATGCTTCTGAACTCATACATGCCAGCTTTCTGGAGAAAAGCTCCTCATAACTCACAATCTTGCCCTGGTTGGTTAGTCATTTTGGTTAGATTCAAGATATACACTATATTCCTTACTAACTTGGAAAGATAGGATTTTTTTTTTTTTTTTTTTTTGAAATATCACAGTCAATTGATACAAGCGTATGAAACCCCTGTGGCTGTTCAGTATACATTGTAGAGCACAGTGATTCAGGATGATACTTGTTTCTTTTTCCACTTGAATGAGACACAATAGGATCTCACCACAGCTGGAAGAAGGTACAGGAGCTGCTTCTACAGGAAAGCTGCACCAGATTTGATATAAATTACAGAATGAGCTTATTAATGTACCTCTACACAAGCATGAGTGGGTTTTTTCACTTTAACTTACGCATTTCAACTGGTTACCTTTTTCTGTGTAGATGAGGCCTAATGACTTGATGACACAACAGAAATTAAGTTCATCACTTGGTATTATACTACTGAAATATTTAAGCATTGAAGCTTAACCTGATTAATTTCTGAGGTTAGAAGGATGTGAGAACTATTCGTCCCAGCATCTTTTTTCTTATTCCAACATATTTTGCAGTTTGAGTTTAAGTGGGCATGGAAAAGAACCTGATTATTTCCAAGGGCATCCCTGGGAAAGGATTGAAAGTCTTCCCTGACAGGAATATTTTAAGGTATCCAGAATGCTGAACCACTTCATCAACAGCAGCTCAGACACTTTTTTTAAGAGTCCTGTTACCCTCCAACTCTTCCTGCGTTTATCTGCAGCATAAGACTGTTCCTCAAGCAAGCAGGTTGGTTCTCCCCAGGTCCATTCCACATATGGATTGAGCATCTCTGGAAAGGAAAGAGTACAGCCTTACACCGAGACACAGTCACACCATGTCCATTCCAGAGACACGTCAGGAAACCCAGGGAAAAAATGGGCTAAATAAAATCTATAGTAACCAAGATAATTTGAATTATTTAATTACAAAATCCAGACCAAGTTACCAAAATCATCCATATAAACTAGTGCTCAAATAACTATCTATCCTCATCTCTTTATTCTGTTTTGAAGCAGAAATCAGCCAAAGAAATATCAATTATAAGAGCACAAATAAACGGTCATCCACTTAAGTTACAAAACACTTTTGCACTTTTCCTCCCCACTACCCTTACTTCTTCAACTGTTTTCTTTCTCAGTAACAATATTTTTCTAGCTTTTATCTTTCTCTTATTTCTCTACCTTTTCTTTTGGCACAGTCCTTTCCCCCGCCCCTTTTCACTGAAAGGAGAAATTCTCTTTTTTGTCAGTCTTTTATCTTTGTCATATCTACGTTATTAAAGTCTCCTTTTTTTTTTTCCCTTGTTGACAAAAGCTACTTGCTACTGTATTTTAGTATTTCATCTAATTGCCCTTCGAAACTTATTTTCTTCCTGCTATAACTTTTTCTCCCTACTAACCTCTCTTTAAATGTCTTCTCTTGAAACACCTGACTGCAGCTGTCTCTTTTGATTCTTCTTACCAG